AAATGCGAGTGGGTGGGGGGGGGGCGAGAGACAAATCCCAATAAACTAGAAAGCGTAGTAGCTTCTACCCCGTTGCAAATTGATTTCTGACCTCAGAGATGTTTTTCATTGGAAGAAAGATTTATGCAAAGTGAAAATAAATATATTATTTACAAGCAGATTATGATAAACTCTTCACTTCCTCCTCACAACATTTTCTAGACAAAAGACAAAATCAGGGTTTCAGCCTGCAATAAAAACATCTCCCTAGAAAATATTTGGTCTATAAAATAGATTAAAATCCTGATACTGTCTCTGTCTTGCTTTATTAAGTCAATAATTTTTTTGTCACTTTTTTGGACAACGTGAGCTAAGCAGCCAGGCTACAGACAGCAAAGGACCCTGTAGACATAAGTTTAAAAAATGAAATTAAGATGAATTTTTAAAATTAAATTACCTTTCTACTTTCCTAATCTTAAGTTTTACTGCTGAGAGACTGTTTTGCAAGCAACTTCTATCAGAGGTTATGTTCTGCGGTGTCCTGAACAGCAGTACGTTATGAAAGGTCCGTGGCCGAATTAAAGGCAGCCTTAAGTTCACCTCCTGCTCCTGCCATAGCTGTCAGAGGAGCCTGGGCAGGACCAGGGAGCCGGCAGCTCTGCAGGTGGTGACCCTGCAGGTCCTGCCATCCGTGTTCGGAGCCTTCTGCAGCTCCAGGGCAACTCCGGGGACTCCGTGAGCCATTAGGAGCTAATGGGACTGTGCACACTTTTTATGGGAAGCGCGTGGGCACAGCCTTTGTGTTTGTGTCCTTACTGGGGTCTCACCAGTGTTATGTTTGTGATGCTGAGTTCCACCAGAGTATCTCGGTTACGGTTACATCAGCTTTATGTATCCAGAACAAAATGTAGAGAGCAAGCAAATGTCTTTTAGGTAAAATTTTTCTGAATAAAGCAAATGATGTGATGATGTGGCTTTAGATGGTATCTGTAATTTAAAGACATGCTAGCATTTTTTAATAAGTATAGGGAGTGCAGGAAGGGCAGAATTGGAAAGAAAAATTACATTTGAAAGACTGCTATGTTCTCTCAATGAAAACAGAAATAAAGGTTTTTACTTTGTTTCCTGCATTGACACCAAGAGGAGTTTTCATCCCTGCACAATTGCTTTTATAGGTCTGGAGACTCAACAGCCAGAATATGGAATCTCAATGAAAACAGCAACAGCGGTTCCACTCAACTAGTTTTGAGGCACTGCATAAGAGAAGGAGGACACGATGTCCCCAGCAATAAGGATGTGACTTCATTGGACTGGAATGTAAGCTAACTTCTAAGACTGTGTATGGTTTTTAACTGTCTAAATTTAATTCAGAGGCAATTACAGCTGCTGCTCCATATCTTTTATATCTGAGGTGACCAGAAGCTCTGTCCTAACCTACTGACCTCTTGTTTCAAATACTCATAATAGACTGAACTTTCCCCTATATGCTATAATTTTCCAGGACGGTTGCTGTCTTCAAGCTTAATAATGATGTATTTATATCTCTATTTTAGGTGCGTGGGTAAAAATAAGCTTAGCTAAATGTAAGAATTAAGATTAAACAAACAATCTATGTAGTAATGAAGCCTGATTAATAATGTATTTGCATCTTATAGTTACTTTATTTTGGCATCTGAAGAGATACAAGCACCAGTGAAGCTTTTTCTGAGGTTGGACTATCAAGACCCTCTCTCATCTGAATTATGCTGTGCATAGCAAAACATGCTCACATTATCGTCTTTATCTTGGTAGGAGCATGTGTAGTCATTCTCTCTTTACCTACCCACCTTCTGGGTGGGACTCTCTGGCCTGATCCTTTTTTTACTCCTGCAAAACCTTCTATCTTAGATAATATGGTCCTGCACAGTGAAGACTGAAGTGAGCAGAGAGGAGACAGGTATTGTTAAGAATCCCCAGTGTCTGGGCAATGTCTTTGGGCAGCTTTAAGGCTGCTTCGTGTCTCCTTTCTGCCACCAAGCATTGTAAAAGGAACTTAGAAGACCTTGCGGAAACCTTAATTAATTTTGAGATCACTTACATACTGTCTGTTTTGCTGATACTAGTACACGTTAGTGACGTTAGTCTTGTTTTTGTAGGAAAACAGTTTAAAAATTAAGTACCAGAAAGGATTCTCAGCAATTACATACAGTCTGAGTTGCTGGCCAGAGGCTAAGATTCGATTAATCTTTGCTGCAATATTATTGTCCTTCAGGTGAGCTAGGTGCTTCTCAAAAGTAAAAGATAAGGTCACTGCACAAACCAGCTTCCCCTATGCATCTTACATTTGACACAATGGAAGAAGTTTGTGAATAGTACAGAAAGCAGAGGTGGGTTAACAAAGCAAATAAAGATGAAACGTAAGAATGTTCATTACTTGTTTCCTGTGGATATCATAGCGAGGAAAAATAGTTGGAAAAACCTAATTGAGGAGTAGGAAAAGAATGGTTGATAAAGGAAAACATGCAAAGGTGCAGAACAGTTAGGAGAAAAGTTGTCCAAACCACATAGGGCATCCTCTAGTATTTCCTGTAGTAGTTCCTTACCTTTCCAGACTTCAGTGATCACTGATACTTCACTTGCATTATGCTGGTATTTAATGTAAGGAAGTGTTCCTAATTTCAACGCTTGAAGTGCTTCCAGCTGAATTTGAGTTTTCCAAAAAATGTGAATTACCACCAACAAATTTGGATAAACTGTACATCTAATCCCTCAGCTTTCCTTCCCTTTTCTCTTTTTGCTCTTACCACCTTTGTTCTCCTGTCCAGATAAGGGTATATCACAGTGAAGGTGGCTTAAGTTTTGATATTTCCCCCCCTACATCATTATACGTATGAGTTAAATTTACAACTGCTCTGACTCACTGTTTTTGAAGGGTTGAAGTGGACATATGTTTTAAAGGATTATTTTATGGTTTTTCCTAATTTTATATTCATGATGCTAGAATTGCCATCTGCCTTTATTGTTTATTTAGAACCACAATATTAATCATATTTCACTCTGAAATTTTCACACTGGTGATACTAAATCAGTTCTTCTCTGGTTTATGTGATTTATGTTATAATGAGAAAGGTTATTCCTAGAGGCCATATTCAGATCATGTCCTTTGGTACCAAGGGTAGGATTCATCTCCCTTATATTTAACCATCTCAACTAGTCATCTAGACTCCAAGTCAGCAGAAACAGAGACGCATGCCTTCATGCTGGCCTGGGCAGAGTCTAAAGCAAGTGGGATCATGAATTACACTCCAGAGGCGGTTGATGCTGTTAGTTATAGAGGGAGACCAGGTTACTCTCTTAAACTAACTCCTAACTTCTGGATGTCTGGAGATAAATGGGGTAAATCTCACTCCTAATCCAAGTGCTGAAGTGTTTAAAGACTAAAAGCCCAGCTCCAACAGTTGGAGCTCCAGCTCACCAGGTTGCAGAGTCAAATTCCTTTTTAATTATTCTCATTTTGGTCCAGTAACTCATTGGCTGCACAGGAGGTATCCTTCAGTGAAGGGCTCCCTCCAGCACAATACACGTAATTTGCTGATTACAATTCCCATGGCTTTTTTTCCTCCTACTTGGGACCCATGAATCCAGCTTTTCTGAGGCTGTCTATCATGGTGCTGTGCCTCTAAGCATCTGTGGCAGTCTGTGTTTAGACAAGAAGGAAGCAGCTGCTTTGTGGTAGATAGCGTGTGAGGTGTCGACTGTGAGTGTGGGTGGCTTAGGTGTTTAGGTCCTTCTTTCACGTATAGGTGCCTAGATTTCACTGAAGTAGGATTTAGTCAGGATTTAGATGATCTGTTGATGTTTTATAAGGTCTTTATGTCTAAGAGGTAGTATCTGTTTGTTATCTGGAAGAATCACATAGAAATTGTTATACCGTGTTTTCTTTTTCTAATCCTTTTGATTAAATTATTCTTATCTGATAGTGTAGCCCAGTATTTCACAGTATGTTAGAGGGTTTTATTTCCTCTTTGCTGACTTCAGTACTAACCTTTAGTTTAAATCATAGTATAATCTGTCTCACTGTGTGAACTCAGATTTCCCATAAATCACAATGCACAAACCTTACCAAAAAAAAAAAGGAAATAAAAAGGTTTGTTGAAACAGATTTCATCTAGTATCTACCTTTGCCATTTTTATATATCCCAACAGAGTGATGGAACACTATTGGCTACTGGCTCATATGATGGTTTTGCAAGAATATGGACAGAAGATGGTAAGTCAAGCAACATTTATTGTTCTTAAGCATCAAACAGCAGTGAATTTGGCTGATTTGTAAACAAATTTTGTAAACAAATTGTAATATTAACCTTTTCTTTATTCCAGGTAACCTTGCAAGCACCTTAGGTCAACATAAAGGTCCCATATTTGCCCTGAAATGGAACAAAAAGGGGAATTATATTTTAAGTGCTGGTGTTGATAAAGTGAGTTTTAAAAATACATTATTCTAACATATAAATGTACTGACTCCATGAGCTTGTGCTTCTGAAATCCGTAAGATGATTTTCTTCTCCTCCAGGCATCCTGGAGAGTTTACTTTTCCTCAATATGTTTTAGTGCGTGTTGATTACATTTTTCAGGCTGCATAAATGTGTACTATTTTTATGTAAAAGATTTTACTTTAAAAGAAGGTAACTCCACTTGTCCCCTGTGTAATGTTAATCTTAAATGTTTCTCAGTTAAGGAAAAAACTGCTTCCACTACTTATGTTTATAGTTTTATCGACTATTTCCAGAAAGGAAGTGATCTGAAAGATACGTGACTTTTTAGTGTTCATCTAATTATTGAAGCACTTGTATTTGAATAAAATATATATGGCTTCCCTTGCAAATATACTAAAAAATGGTAGTTCTGAACTCAAAACTGAGCAAAATATGGTAGTTTCAGCTGAGTGCAGGTGACTGCTGCTGATGAGCACGAATCCATTAAAATTGAAACTGGAAAGCACACAGCATTCATCTTGCTTTACTTTTGGTGTCTAAAAATTCAATATGCATGTCATCCTTGGCTTCCTTTATAAAATTTGGGGAGAAAAATGGCACTTCCAAGTGATGTGTTGCATGGCCTGTGTTACCGTGAGAGGCACTGACAGTGCTCCTCTCCAGCACCTGCATGAGGCAGCCTGCGGAAACCAGCGCAGGCTTGTACCTCTGATACGGGGGCTAAGTGAATCCCTATATTTTCACAGACTTGTGAAAATGGAACCTTAGTTTTATTCCTTTTAATACTGACTTATATTCAGCTACACTTGTCTCCCAAGGGTAGTTTCATTATTCTGGCAAATTTCCTGGTAAGAGCAGTGATTCTTTAGATGATTATCAGCGAGATGAGGCATCCTGACTTTATTTTCTGGAAGCATGTACTCCCAATAAACTGACAATGCGCTCAGAGGGTGGTATTGAGCTCTACAGGAGAGTTGCTTACATGTGCTGTGAGTATGGATTAAACCTGTAGTAAGCAAATTACACTTCAGTCTGTCCCACCAGTGGCAAGGAGTGGTGTGTATTCTGCTCCTAGATAAACATTTCACTGGGTGGTTTAATTGTTAGAAATGGAGTATCACATCGTTTTATAATAGAATTCAACTTGCTTCTTTGACAAGGGGAAAAAGTCATCTTTGAAGAAGATAACTGAAACAGCTGTAACAAAGTGGTTATTAAAATTTTGTAGTACTGTTTTCTAGCATTATTCAGAGAGAATATGCCCATTCTTAGTAGTTATATTACTTCCTCTGTAGGGGTGATACTTCTTTATCTACACATAGGTTATTTGTCTGTACTATTTGGAAGTGATTTCTGTTTTTTCAGCTGTTCAGCATACAAGGCTCTCTGCAGTCAATAATTTTATCAGTCCATCTTTTAGAATTACTCCTCAGTGAGGGCTCTCTCTATTTGTTTTCTCTGAGGTGAACAGTCACTAATCTTTTTTTTCCGCCTTCCTTTGGATGCAGACAACAATAATTTGGGATGCTCACACAGGCGAAGCTAAACAGCAGTTTCCTTTCCATTCAGGTAATTTCTGCATAACTCTTCTTAGTGAGACAAAACGCAGTTTTTAATTTTGTCAGTGTAATTTATCCTTTTGTAAAAACCTATCTGCCAGAGAGAAGTAAATAGCGGAGCAAGGGTTTCTGTGCTTTAACTGTGCTATGTATCGTGGCTTTGGGTTTATTCTTTTTTTCAGAAAGATGGGGTTCTGTGAGAATCAGCTTTGAAAGTCAAACTGACTCTAGGAGAGTATTTATACACCAGCCGTGTCTACCTAGCTGAATGATTCTGTCATTATCTATCTGCTTGAATAGTATCAAGGTTAAAATGGTGGGTTATGAAGAGACTTTTCTATGGAGATTTCTGGGATCTGTTTTGCTGTTTCTGCCCCTGTTGCAGTGAAGCTGACTTCAGACAGAGGCAGATACATATCTCTCAGAAGCTTGCATTCACCACTGGAAGCATGAAGGTCCTCAGGAATTTATTATCTTGAAGATCTTCAGTATTTGCTTTCTCTGATTATCAGAAGTCAGTTGCCAACCTTGAGTTTCAAAACCTCACTGCACCAAAACCTGACCTGGATGGTCATTTGTAGATCTGGTCTGCTTCAAGAAGACAGGACATGTCACAGATACTAAGTAATCTTGAGTAACAGGCAGTCAAGGACATAATCTTAAATTTACCTGAGACCAGACTTGCAAGATGATGACTGAATTCATGGCCCAAACTGGATAAGTTGTCACAGTGAAGAATTTTTAAGGAGCACAGTCAAACTGAGTTTAAAACCACCAAAACACTCCAGATTCTGATGCTAGCAGTGTTCATCTTCCTGTGTGTTCACTGTACCTAATCCATTTTTAAATACAGCAGACTTTCACAAGGTGCTTAATGGTGTTTAAAAGCATATATTTTACTACTACTTCTAAAACATTAATTTGCACATGCTTTTCAACTCAATTTCTAGTTGTTCTCATTCTCACATTTTTACAGATGTTATTAATATGCAGTAGCAATTTAAATGGTTATTCATCAGAAGACAAAAAGTATGTCCATGTGCATAGCAGATCCATACACTGCACTTTGGTCACTCATCTTCTCCCTTATTAATGCAATTGTCAGTTTGGAGGAGTCAGTGTCTGCTGACAGATTTTCTCACTGTGGCATTTATTTATCTTTCATAACTTTCATACAAGTAAACTTTGTGCTGAATAGCGATGTAGTTGACTCTTAAGCCTTCTGATCGCTATTAATCTAAGTAGTTGCAGATTCAGAATTTGGTTGCTCTTTCAGAATCACGTTCACTGACATGTAGCTGTCTCAGCAGCAATGTGCATCAAGGACATAGCACTCCATTCCCCTTGTAGCACATTGAAAACTTAATTACATCTTCCAATGCAATATGCCAATGTCCATCTGCTGCTAATAGATTTTTTAAAAAAATTCTTATTACGCATGCTGTCTCTCTTTAGACCGTGAGACACAACTGAAGTGGAGATGTGGAGAGGCTAATTTATTTTTGTTTTTTTCATTATTTCAAATATGTTTTCAAAGGGCAGTACAGCAGTTAGTTATTCAGGAAATTGTTGTTAGGCCACAAGCATATGTCCTACAAAAAGCCCCTTAAAATCAGCTGAAGTCTTTGTCCTCACATTAAGTCTAAACCCACGAAGACCTTGCCTTGTCCTCACTTATGCACCAGAACAAACAGCAGCAGATTCCTTACCATATCTGGAATCTGGAAACCTTGTTGACACAAGGATTAAAGGTGGCATTTTAACAATTAAAAGTCTAGTCTAGATGGAGTACAATTCCTTTAACACGTACTTGTGTGGCGTACTTCTTAGCATACTTCTTTGAAGTCTAGAGATAGTTGGCCTGGGAATAACATAAATTTTTTACTCTTGGCTGCTCTACAACCTATTTAGTTTTACACCCATATGGACAAAGCTGTCATCTTAAAATACGGAAGGAAGACACTTTTGTCTGGGTCTTGAAGGCTTCTGTATCATTGATGATCCCATGTAACGTTAAGGTTTTATGGTCAAAAAATGTAAGTATGGATAAGTAGCTTCTAGGGTTTCATTATTCTTTGCAAAACTATGAGTCATTGTAGGGTATTTGGTCAAAATATGTATTCACAAAGCTTATTTCTTTAAAATGGAATGAAGTAATCCAATTTTCACATAGTGATAGATGTCAACTGATGTCTATGCATGCAGGAACAAATGGGTTCATTGATACCATAAGAGGTATTTGTATGACCCAGTTTTAGACATCTAAATGCTCTGGATCACTGCCTGCAGACACCTAACTCTATCCTCTTCTGAGCTGCTAATTCTGAATCACACCTAAATTTGTTCAGAAAAAGCTTAAATTAACTGATAATTCTTGCAACACTTTTATTGTTGGGATTTATTTTAGCTGCATTTCTTAAGGATTTGTTGCTGCTTTTATTAGATGACATTCTAATTGTTTTTATGCAGTTGGCTAGTATCCTGTGGTTTTGGAGACACTTTGGCAATTCAATTACTTGCATCAACCCACATTTGGTTGTTTTTTCCAGACCATTTTATGTAGTTACTTATCCAGTAAACGTATGATTAAATACACCAGTAAGTGAATTAGTATTAATTATCAACACTCTATGATTCAAATTATGCTGCGATAGAAATCCATTGCTTTAGGTGCCAGTAGCTCTCAGAAAATTACTTTTCAACTCATACATATCATACTAGATATTAGCCTGGAAGGCATATTGCTATTAATGAAGATAGATTTTTGTTTGCTCTGAAACAGTAATACAAAGCTTGCAGCATAAAAAGAAACACAAACAGTTAAAGAAACAAAATCCTTTGCTGTTTCCTGATCCCTACTCATTTTCATTGGAAATCTCGGAATTACCTTGCCTTCCTCACACAAACTTTCTTTGAATTTCTGCAAGGCAGAAATTCCTTACACGTTACACAGAATTATTGACCTTTTTCATTAATATTCTAAAAAAAATACTCGTATATGGAACAATTTCAGCCCTCCATTCTCATTTAGAGAGCTACCCGATGATTCAGAAGGTGATGGGGATCCATCTCATTTTGCAGTTCATAAAAGTTATACCAAGATTAAAACATATTTAAATATGATAGGCTTGGCAGAACAGGTATCTTTTCACCTCTGCATTGCAAAAGTATTTTTCTGAACATATTGGAGTAAGGTATTTCTTGGTTTCATTTTAATCATAATCTTGCATTGTATTGTTGCCAGGAAGAGATTCAACTTTGCTTCCTATATGCTGCTCTTGTTCTGACACACTTGCTTCTCACAGGAGTGTGCTGAGAATGAAGATTTCTGTATTGTAGCAAGTCTGATGTCATCCTCTGGAGGGCAGCTAAAGTCTTTCCTGAGCAGAAAACCAAGCAGCAGTTCTAGAAACACAAGCAAGCTGTATGTCAGGAGTTGTCTCCTACTCCTGTGCATGCTTTTAGTCTGCAGTGACATGCTGCAAAAGGGTTTTGTTTTTTTGTTTTTCCACACTTTTTGCAAAATGCCTGTGTTGCATACAGGCACTAGTTACATGTTCATGTACAATCTGTGCACAAGGTTTCATTAGCTCAGTCCTAGTTAATGCCAAACCCTTTACAGAAACTCTTCCTCTCATTTCAGATCAGCTTGATTGATGTACCTATCTTTAATCAATCCCCAACCAAATTAAACTGAATGTAGGTATTATTAATCCACATGTCTGCACGGAATGATAGGTTTGCATCAGTGGTTACAAAGAGCTAGTGCAAAGGGAGATGGCCACCTGCTGCTTCTCCTTCCCATGTGCTGTGCCTGGCATTCACAGGAGCATTTTTTCTAACCCAGCTGAAATTATCCAGGTTTTTTTTCTGGATTAGTTTTTTTTCCAGATTCTTCCCTGAGCTGGCTTATAGAGGAATGAATGGTAGAGACAGCCCCAGAGCAGTGTGCAGCTGGGAGCGGGGTGGGAGGGTGGAGGCAGATTGTTTTGCCCCCTCTTATGTAACTTAACCCAAAAAACCAAGCCTTAACACTAACAGGTGCCACGCAAAGGATCAAGCTTGTCTGCTGCAAGAGAAAAAATAATTTGTCCCCTTCAGACAGTCCTTATGATCCCTGTAACTGGTAGTAGGTGATAGTCCAAGAAGTAGCTTCTAGTCCGTTTGATCCAGACGGATTACAGGAGGAAAATTACCTGGGGTAGTTCTTTCTTTGCTGTCTTCCCTGATGTTCCTTCCGTTGTTCGTACTTCACAGCTCCTGCTCTGGATGTAGACTGGCAGAACAACACTACTTTTGCCTCCTGCAGCACTGACATGTGCATTCACGTATGCAGACTCAGCTGTGATCGTCCTGTTAAAACCTTTCAAGGACACACGGTAAGTTTAAGAACTCCAGAATGTTAGTGATGATCAAGTCACCACAGCATGTAACAATGATGGCAGCTGATGGGTTTGCAGGGTGTGTTCTAGCACCAAAGGTGTTACATCCCATTGCTTCCCTGAAACCATATTCCTCAGGAGTGACTCACTGCCTGTGAGAGAGGATAAACTGTTCTAAATCACTGTAGGAGGCAAAACCTGCAGCTTAAACAGTGAGGCTATTTATATGTAGCATGAGCTGCATACTAAGGGCACTTTAATGAATAAGATTTTGTTTTCCACTGGCTTAATTTCCTTTAGTAAATCAGAACTATGAATAAGGAAAGAACAATTTACCTCCAACCATTGTTCAGTTTTAGAATCAATTTAATCTGGATGTATTTCCCCCTTCTTTTCCTGGTGGTATTTAATGACCATCAAAGGCTAGTTTTTCTAGCTTTCATTCATGAGAAAACTGCTTTCATATACTGACCTGTAATTCAGATACCAGCTTCCAGAACTTGTTCCCCACTGAGGAAAACCTGTGAATTTGGAGACCTTTATCAAGTCCATGGTTAAACTGATACTAAACTGATACTAAACTGATACTTCATGACATTCCTCCCAACAGACTGGTGCTTTTTATGATTATATGAAATGCACTATTTTACACATGATCCAAATTTTCACTTCAAATATATGTACAGTTCCTTTTAATTATGACTGAAACATGTAAAATGGATAAAGCAAAATTTTAATATTTTCCAGGATTATTTTCACTGAGACCCTGACCCAATTTATATTTTAAAAAAACCCCATCTTTCCCTTTTTATGAAATGCTTCCCCCCCCCCCATGTATGACCCTCAAAAAAGCACAGCAACCTTACTGATTACCAAGGGGATACACTAGGCTTAGTTAATTACAAAGTGCTAGAAAGATTGATAGAGAAAGCATTGTAAGCTATTTAATATTCCATCCTGGATTTCATTTACATATACACCTCTGTTTAGAGAGACCAGCATTGTTGTAGAGCTGCAGTACTACGAATTATAAACTCCACAAAACTTCACACCCCACCCATATTTTCTATTGAAAATTTGTTTCTCCAAGATCTATGCAGAACATTAACCAAAGAAATACCACAATTTCACAAAGTTAATGCTGTATCATCAGTCTGTCTGGTTTGAGGGCTCATTTAAATCCTACCATATGAAGAAAGAGTATGAGAGACTTTGTGCCAGAACATGTCTCAGAAGACTGACTGTGTATTGTTCACAAACACAAACGGTTACCATTCCTAAATGACACCTAAATAGCATGTGCTTTTGTTCATCCACACAGCAGCCAGGGCTGTAATTTGTGGTTGAACCTGTGGCATGCATAAACCTTGAGTGCCCTCTTCTGGGTGCCCAGTACAATGCACATAACTGCAATCGTTAGTTAATCAATATGACCTTTTATTTCAGAACGAGGTTAATGCAATCAAATGGGACCCGTCTGGCATGCTACTAGCATCTTGCTCCGATGATATGACATTAAAGGTAATATAATTTCCATTCATGATCTTCAAAAAGACAAAAATTACGTCTATTTTTTAATCTTCTCCAGAATGATGGTACTGTATCACTTAAAACTCTGCACAAACAATAGTTTAATTTTTTCCCATATTTCTTAAAGCCAGTCTGAAAGATTGAAGACAGGGAAGCAACCACTGGGAAAACTGAGACATCCTATCCAAATAAGTTTTAAGTGAGTGATACGTCAGTGTCACATAATAGTCGTAGTTTAAATAAACACATGTACATACACATACGCTTGCCTGTCAACAGAGGCCCAACCCTATGCTAAGAAGCAGTCTATTTGTTTCATGTTGAAAAGGATATAAAAACAAAGAGTTTTCTCCTTGGAGGCTTTTTTCTGAAAGTAATTTCATTGGAGCCGTTTAATTTTTTTTTTTTTAACACTACGCAATGGGACAGGACATGTAAATTCAGAGCCCACCAAAAATCTGAATTGCTCTCTGAAAATGCCTATCTTTGTCCATGCACTGTATGGGAAGGCTAAGGCAGCTATGCTGCCAACGTATGTGCCTCTGTTAGGTGCCTGAAGTGAGATGGAACGGATCTGGATTCTGGCTCGCAGGCAGCGTAGGTCTCTTTACCAGCACACCTGGGCCATGGCATTGTACCAGCAAACTGTTGCTTATACAGGGGGGAGTCAGGGCTTGCAGAAATACTTTTCACAATAGAGCTTTTCCAGCCCAAACTCCCCTCGGTCTCATTCTCCTTTCCCAGCTGCATTGAGTGAAGGCTGTATCCACCTAGGAATAGCTGTGTGTCATAACAGCAAAGTCGCCCTGCTGGACTGTTGATTTATGCTGGTTCCTTGAGCAAAGCCAACATCCCAGGAAGGATTTGGTTTTGTGGATTGAATTGTACCAGTAATACAGATTCCTCATAGTATAGTTGTGTTAATTAAGGCTCGTACCTCTTTCCACTGTTGATGGACACAGCTGAGGTAAGAGATGCTTCTAGCATGCATACAGGCTGTGAATAAGAACTGAAACTGAAAAAGCAGCAAAACTTGAAGAGCTAAGTGAACATCAGATTATTAATGTTTTCTCTTCATAGGTAGACTGAGTTCTGCTCAGTTCTACTCTCTCACAATACCTACTCGGGTTTTCATCCCTCTGGATTCTAGATGTATTATTCTGAACTGTTCATATAACTTAAAATTTACAGAAAATAGGGCTAGGAGAGACTGAACTAGAGCACCTTGTCTGTTACGCTGCTACGAAGCAGTATGGTAGTAACCAGTATTGCTCTGCTTAAACATCCTGACCCAGAGGTAGCACATTTTTTGGTGCCCAGTTGCATGCTGTGTTTTAAAAACCACTGTGGCTCAGAGTTGTTGGTGCCACTTCATATTTCTGACCACTGAATTTGGCACAAGAGCTAATGGTTTGCTACCCCTGGCCTCACTTGTTTCTAAAAACCTTCAGTGATAGAGACTGCAAATCCTCTTCAAGAAATTATTATTCTTCTTCCTTTTCCTTTGGAAATCAGTGCTCTCTGGATTCTTTTTTTTTTTTCTCTTTTTTTGGAGTTCTTGATATTTTCCTACAGCTTCTTGCAGCATCTGTTGCCTGTTAGCCATAGAACATGGGTAAGCTTTGTGTAACATTTCCAAAAGCAGACTCAGGTATGCTGATGAAAATCGGCATAGGAGCACATCGTTTCCCTCATAGTGCAGACTTACAACAAGTGAGTTAAATCATTACTACATTTTTGGTATCTCTCTGAAATTGACTGACTAAATTTGAGTTATTTTCCCTGCTGTGAATCAGCTTAATCTTGTTTTCTCAGTTAGCTGAAGAAAAGATCTACTAAATTAGCTGTCGTCTCTGTTGAGCATATTCTTTATCTCATGCTGAAGTATTTGGCCATGTAACAGTGCATAAATAGCTGATCTCGTTCCATTGTCTGTGCTGTTAAAAACATCAGGAAAACAAATGGAGTTAGGAGGGAAGAGAAAATTTGCTGTGGCTCTTGACTGGCGTAGGAAAAGATGATTAGGTTCTAAGCAGTTATTGAAACTTTATTTTCATTCTTTAAGATGACTGCTGTTGCAATGTGTGACTTCAGGTTAAACTTCTCTAAATAGAGTAACTTAAGCTTCTGTATGCTGGAGGCCAGGTGCCCACCAAAGCTGCTCTGTCACTCCCCTCCTCAGCTGCACAGGGGAGAGAAAATATAACAAAAGGCTTGTGGGTTGAGATAAGGGCAGGGAGAGATCACTCACCAATTACCGTCACAGGCAAAACAGACTCAACTTAGAAAAAATAATCTAATTTATTACCAAACAGATCAGAGTGGGATAATGAGAAATAAACCCAAATCTTAAAACACCTCTACCCACCCCTCCCTTCTTCCCAGGCTTAACTTTACTCCCAGTTTCTCTGCCTCCTCCCCCCAGCGGCACAGGGGGACGGGGAATGGGGGTTACGGTCAGTTCATCACACGCTGTCTCTGCCGCTTCTTCGTCCTCAGGGGGAGGACTCCTCACACTCTGTCCTGCTCCAGCATGGGGTCCCTCCCACGGGCTGCAGTTCTTCATGAACTGCTCCAGCGTGGGTCCCTTCCATTGGGTGCAGACCTTCAGGACCATACTGCTCCAGCGTGGGTACCGCACGGGGTCACAAGTCCTGTACCCGCTCCGGCGTGGGCTCCTCTCGCCACGGGGCCACAGGTCCTGCCAGGAGCTTGCTCCAGCACGGGCTTCCCATGGAGTCACAGCCTCCTTCGGGTGTCCCCACCTGCTCCGGCGTGGAGTCCTGCGTGGGCTGCAGGTGGATATCTGCTCCGCATCATCCTCCATGGGCTGCAGGGGGACAGCCTGCCTCACCAAGGGCTGATCCATGGGCTGCAGGGGGATCTCTGCTCTGGCACCTGGAGCACCTCCTGCCCCTCCTTCTGCACTGACCTTGGTGTCTGCAGAGTTGTTCATTTCCCATATTCTCACTTCTCTCTCTGGTTGCAATTGCTCCTGGTGGGTTTTTCCCCCTTCTGGCAGCAGCTCCATCTTGGAGCCGGCTGGCATTGGCTCTATCGGACATGGGGGAAGCTTCTAGCAGCTTCTCACAGAAGCCACCTCTGTAGCCCCCTCGCTACCAAAACCTTGCTATGCAAACCCAATACAAGATTATGGGCAGTACAGCAACTGTTTAGTTCTTCTTATCTATTGAATAAATACTATTAAATGTGTAGCTCTTTCCCCTAATAGGGTTATTCTAACATCTGTGTACTGTATGTGCCAAACTGCTGCATTAATAAACTTCAGTTATGTTTTTATGTTTATGTGTGTACATCTGTGTCGAGATCTTAAATAAACAAATGGTAAGAAAAACGTAGAACTGAAATAACTCATCTGAGAATAGTTACGTTGCCATTTTTCCCCTTCATAATTACTCAGATTTGGAGTATGAAGCAAGATACCTGTGTACATGATCTTCAGGCTCACAGCAAAGAGATTTATACTATCAAATGGAGTCCTACAGGACCAGGCACCAGCAACCCAAACTCCAACATCATGTTAGCAAGGTAAAAATGTACCTCTTTCTGTTGCCTGCCAAGAAGGAGGATCATCTTTCTGACATGTAACTCTACTGTCACCGTGCCAGTCTTCCTGTGGACAATTCCAGTAAAAAGTACCTGCATTTGTAAATCAGAGGGGTGGAAACAAAGGAAAAGGAATCATATTTGAAAAGGGAAGAAGAAAAAGAAGGAAAATTGAGTCATCTGGTATTTATGATATTTAACTTTTCAGCTGCCTTGATAAAAGGATTGTAAATTTGTCATTGCACCTTCACATCCGGCATCCAGTTGTTATGAATTGAAGTACTTTATGAGACCAATGGCAGCCCATTCAGCCAGTTGGAATGTGTTCTGACCAGGGTCATCAGCTCACCTGGGCAGATACTGACAGGTTTTACATCTTGTTATCTAACAGAGAAAAGTTTGGATAATCTTTAAAAGTCCACTTGGAAATCTGTTCAAAATTCTTTGAGTTTAGGGAACATGTTGACTTGTAGAATGCCAATTGATGGTAGTGCCATGGGATTATCAAATCAGCTCATGGTGTATTCAGTTTGGGGAGGAGTTGTATCAAAGCTGTTTTATTTATTTTACTCCTTAGTCTGGAAGTGGACAGGGAAGAAGAACTTTGCTTTCTCAGAGTTCTTCTTTTAATATTTTTAATACCAGTTATTTCCCCTGCCTTTTTCTAAGCCCACAGTTTGGGATTTAGATGGATTGTAGCAAAAAACAGCACGAAAACAAAGTGAGAAGAACCACAGTTCTAGATAATTACAGACTGCTAATTCATTAAATAATACAAACCCATTAGGAATAAGATTTCTCTGGAACCATTTACCCTATTAATGACAATATATATTTTACCTTCCTGAATAATATCAGGTAGAATCTCAAAAAGCAGGAGCTTGGCCCTTTTAGGGCCAGTGATCTGAACCTATGTGCAGCACCCTGAGATAAACTCGAAGGTTCCACATACAAGAAATCAGTTCTGTAGATATAGTCCTTTTCAAGGCTGTAGCGAATATTAGCTTTTCTCTTTGAAACATTAGTTCTTGCTTAGCCAAGGAAAAAACCCTGTGTTATTCTCTTAAAACATTTACAGTATCAAACTGCAAATTGATTAACCCTCAAATTAAGCCATGCTTGTGTTTGAATGCTTCTTGCAGTGCTTCGTTTGATTCCACTGTCCGGCTGTGGGACGTTGACCGAGGAGTCTGCATCCATACGTTAACAAAACATCAAGAGCCTGTCTACAGTGTAGCTTTTAGTCCCGATGGAAAATATCTAGCCAGTGGGTCCTTTGACAAATGTGTCCATATATGGAATACTCAGGTACTGTGAAGCACATCTGGTTTAGATGACACGTTAATAGCAAATGCCTAAATGAAAAATACATGTACCTCTGTAGCGTATGACCTGCCAGCCAAGGTGAACCTGATTGTATCGACTGATACAAATCCCAGCATAACAGTTGAGTCACTCAGGTGGAGTGAGGTGACTGTCCAGAACGTTTCTATTCGGGCTTCGTTGTATGCTAAAACGCTAGCATGCGTGAAAATACGCGTGGTACGTCGTATCGTGCCATCAGCTTTGTGAAGCAAAAGTGTGGATTGATTCTTAGAAATAAGTGATACTTTTGTTCAGTGACAAGCTGAGTTTAGTTGTGAGTCCGATGCACCTGGCTGATACTCTGTGATGAGGAGGTGATAGATCCAAAGGGTCTATCACAGGCTGGGGACTGGGGATACTCTGGAAAATCCAAAGTGGGACATCATAGTTCCACAGATTTAATTCTGGATACTGATGCCTCACAGCCTGAATTAACAACAAACTTTAGAAAAGACCACCTCAGCCTAACTCCCCAGGCCTTTACTGTTACAAAGTTGACAAAAACAGATGTCTTAAGAGTCCTACTGTAAATTGCTTTCTGGAGGAGTGTCATGGTTTAACCCGGCAGGCAGCTAAAACAACCCTACAGCCGTTCACTCACTTCCGCCTCTCAGTGGGATGGAAAAGAAAAAAACAACCAAAAAGCTCATGGGTTGAGATAAAGACAGTTTAATAGGACAAAAAAGGTAAATAATAATGATAATAATAACAATTATAATGATAATAATAGTGATAATAATAGAATATACAAAACATGATGAACAGCACAATTTCTCGCCACCTGAAGTCAATGCTCTGCAAGGCCCCGAGCTGCCCCACCTCCCGGCCCAACCCCCAGTTATATACAGCACATGACGTCATATGGTATGGAATATCCCGTTGGCCAGTTTGAGTCAGCTGTCCTGGCTGCGTCCCCTCCCAGCTTCTTGGGCACCCGCTACTTTCTCGTTGGCAGGCCAGTATGAGAAGCTGAAAAGTCCTCGACTGCTTGGCAACAACTGAAAACATCAATGTGTTATCAGCGTTATTCTCATGGTAAATCCAAAACACAGCACTATACCAGCTGCTAGGAAGAAAATTAACTCTATCCCAGCTGAAACCAGCACAAGGAGCCTGTTTCTCTTCATTATCAAAGACCAGTTTCCTGACTTCATCACCTTACGGAGGTGACAATAGTTGGGTGATGTGAATAGCCCCCACCTTGCCACCACTCTCTTCTTTTTAATGTAGTGCCATGCAACAGAGAAAGAGAAGGGGAACTTCTGTATCAAATGTTTGCATGCTGTTTTGCTTTGTAGAGTGGAACTCTAGTACATAGCTACCGAGGCACCGGGGGCATCTTTGAAGTCTGCTGGAATGCTAGAGGAGACAAAGTGGGAGCAAGTGCATCAGATGGATCGGTAAGAAGCTTTACACATTGTAAATGTTAGGTGGAGATTACTCTTCTGGAGAGTGCCAACAAAAACCGTGCATGCCATATTGCCTTCTCTGGACAGAGCTGAAGGGTAGGCAGCTCGAGAGAGAAAGAAGTAGTTCTGTGGAGTACAGTAAAAACGCTGCTGCTTTGGAAGGTTTTGAATACTAGGAGGTGATGTTCCTATTGGAAATGACGAATGCTTCTGGAATAGGTGGATGTTGCAGAAGATAGGAATGACTTTTAAACACATATGTGATAAGAACACCAGTAATATTGTTTCTGTCATTATTTATCTCATCTGTCAGTTTTTAATGAAGGTCAGGTCACAGCAATGAACTCTCTAAAAAACAGTTGTCTTGGAGCTTTCTAAGTTTTATCCCAAAGTTTACCCTTAAATAGTACCTAAAAGAGGAAGTTTTCAGCATGATACCCAAAGATTTCATCGCATGGTAAAGGAGAAATATTGCTGCAGAGATACCAGTTACTCATTACTGGTTTTGCTGTTAATGCTACTTTAAAAAATTCTCAATTGTAGCGTGATCGGCTTGTGAAGGACGCACAGATGTTATAACACACTCTACAGCTTTTTAAAATAGTTCTACATGGCTGGCTGGTGTAACTACTCTAGAGCAGTATTTTTCAACTGTTTTTAACAAAGGGTACCCCTATGACACAATTCAGTTGCTTGAGCTTAGTAGTTGTGCCATTTGAGCTGGTGCCATGCCTGGCTTCCAACAGCTGCTCCAAACGGGCACGTGTCTGCTATGGGTGCTGTCACACCTGCCAGGCTGCATCTACTTTGGGTGTTTCAGAAATGGAAGTGGGCACCGTATTCAGGCAACTAAATAGAGCCCATAGTCTTGTTTGGGATATGCCACCCAAATGTACATTTGTAATCCCGTGAAAGCCCAGCTAAATGTTAAATGCGTGGTTTTCACTTGGGTTTTCTCCCACGTCGGTTTGTTCCGTTGCTTGTGTGCGTGTCAACTGATACTTGGGACAGGCTGTTTTGCAGCTTGGGAGTATAACACACTGCTGGCTGATCAGCCTGTCTGTGGGGTCATATATGAATCCACATCACCTTCAGAAATGGTTCTTAATGCTGAGTCTTTTCTCTCCAGGTTTGTGTTCTAGATCTGCGGAAGTAAAAGTGAAATGTTTTAGAAGAAATTTCAAATGGACCAGCAGTGAATGTGTGGGGAGAAGCACTCTTCAAAACCATTCTTAACAGCTCCAGAACTGTACGAACTTGAACAAAGTTAGAGTGTACCGTGAAACCAACTCTCCCTGGCCACAGGTGTCTAGTATTTTGTCTGTAACCTTCATCAAGGAGTAAAAACACAGTCACTTCAGAGGGGGAGGGAATGGTTTCCACCTGGAACATTCAGCCTTGGAAGCATGAAGCCACCAGCTAGGCATTGCACTGTTTGGTTTGCGTCTGAGAACTTGCTCTGATGGCTGGGAAAAAAAAAGCTGTGCCAAAAAAAAAATTAATAAAAAAAAAGAAAAATGCTGTGATAAACCAAAAGGGAAAAAAAAATCCTCCTCCATGCGGTGTTGTATTTTTTCCTTCCAATTTGGACACTACAGTTGCTCTCCCAAAGGACGTTCAAAGACCAGTTTGTACTGATGAAATGCTCAACTTTGTAATCACAACACTTTCTATTTTCTAGACTACTTTTTTTGTTCAGTGTTTTTTCTATCAGCTGGAATATTACAGCCTGGAGGATCCCGGGCTTAGGATGAAACTTTTGTTTTCCTTTTATTTCTCCCTTCCACTCCCAACTTCTCCTTCCTTTTTTTTTTTTCCTCCTTCTGTTTCTTCTTAACGTTTTTTTTTCTTTTTTTCCCTGTATGCCCATAGTAGATGCAGCCAGGTGGACATGACAATGAAAATTTTTGACAGACTGCTTCTCCTCTCTTCTCTCTCTTCCTTTTCCTTTCTTTCTCTCCGTTGAAAAGAAAAAAAAATCCTCCATGCTTCAGATCTTAGCGTCTCAAGGGCACTTTCAGCAAATTGTGTAATAAGTGCTTTATATAAGAATGCAGTGCTGGGGAAGATTTTTACAGGAGAAAGATGACTTTTAACAGAAAGAACCCAGTGTATTTTTGGAAAAAAAATATTTTTTATGTTAAACAGTTTTAAAAGCCTGAAATGGCCACCAAATGTAGACCAGTTGTGTAATTCAAGCAAAAAGAATGACACAGAGTCCAAGGAACATGAAAGGTGCAGTATCCTTTTTCTTTCTCTCTCAGAAAGTGCTGTAAGAAAAAAATGCCGTTTGATACAATAAATGCCAGTCATTTACTAAGAGTCCTCTTCCAGCAGCCAGGCATTTATATAGTCTCATTTCATTTTCGTGGCTGTTTGATGATGTGCGCTTATTAAAAGGGATTCATAAGTTTGAGACTATAAATATAGCATTCATTTTCTTGAGTCCGTATTTTCGTTTATCCTCAGTAGCCAGGGGAAAACGCTTGTGTATCTTCTTTCCTCTAGCAATAGGTGAAATGTCATGCAGAACGTGGGTTTGGCTGCCCGTGGCCTTGCTGAGCAGCGCCGTCTTCCAGTCTCATCCCACTCAGCTGTTTCTGTTCCAGGAAGTCAATGGGATTTTACCACTGACTGAATGAGATCAGTCGGGCGGAGATCTATTGACTGCATCTATCGTTGTTGAAGAATGGAGTCTTGCCAAGCTCCTGTCCATCCGTGGTCAGCACACACCTTAGAAGCAGGCTCTTCCATTGCATCGGGTGGTCTGTGGTGCTGCCGTCACCCTCAGCCGTGCGTGTGCCGTGTGCGACAAGGAGAGCTCTGGGTCTGGGGGCTCCCCGTCTGTCCAGGCACATTAGCCTTGACAACATAGAACTCTCCATTAACTGAGGACAGGATACAGGATATATAAATTGTATGTCAACCTGTATACCACTACAGAGTTATAGTGGGTGAAATGATCGGAATGATGATAAAGACTTCCAAAGCACCACCTATCCACTTTGAACAAGATTTCCTTACTGCGAGCTAGACATCTGCAGGGACGCCTACAGAATGCTACATTACTCGAAGAGCAAATGATGGATGCGACGAAGGATGCATAGGCAGAGGTTACTGAAAGTGCTGTAAACTATAAGGCCACCTTGGGGTGGTGGCAGCCATTACTTAGTCAAACAGGTGTCCTCTCTAGCCCACAGGCTAGGCTAGGATTTGTAGGAGAGAGAAGAACGACACAGAGAACCCCCTTAACATCACGTAGTACCTTCCTGCCCAAAGTTTGTGTAACACAGGATCTTCCCTTCAATTTGACCTCGACTGCTGAAGTGGTGATTTGATCTGAGCAAAACCAAAACCAGAGCCCTACTGCTGAACTGGTGGTGCAAGACGCACCAAGCATCATGGTATCATCCTGACATCATCATGGCATCGTGCAATCCGTACCTCATTTTTTTTCTCCTGGGTTTTCCTCTCTTTACGCTCGCATCTGCACAGTATCTTAGTCCTTCCAGTGGAACCAGCCACTGCCAGGTTCAGCTGCATTTCTTCAAGATGCACATTTGGAAAGGAGAAAAGAAGTAACTGCTAAAAGTAACTGCTCAGTCCTGAGGTGAAAACAGTTATGTGGGGGATTTTGGTTAGTAATGACAGTTAGGCTTGCTTGTAATTTGTGTCAAAGAATTGGACACTGGAAGGTATCAAGGATTATTTTTGGTGTTAAATGCTTTTATGTGTTGGTTTTAGTTTTCTGCTCCAAGAGCATGGGCTGTAGATGATCACGTTGCAGTTTTGCACTGTTTTATAATAACCACGTGTACCTACTAATTTAAAGTCCCTATTTAAAAAGGAAAAAAAAATAGTACTTGTTCGAAGAGAGACTTGAATTTGAATAAAAAGGTTTAATGTGGTTTTATAAAGCACGGTTGGGTTGATGATTTGATTACAATCCTTGCATGTACACGGTTAACTTCCTAAGCTGCTTTTGGGTGGCGTTTCTGAGAATAACACGCAGAAGGTCCCGGTCTGCAGGCGGCGGAGGGCAGCGGGGATGGGGCCCTGGCCTTGCCTCTGTCCCTCCAGTGGCGCCTGCGTAGGCCACACCTCAGGACTCAGAGAGATGAGGTTGCTCAGTCCGAGTTCAGCGATGCCTCATGGCTGATTGGCCACACAGCCCATGTTGTGTGCTTGCTCCTGGGACAGCTACTGTAGATAACTCGGCAGTGTCCATGATACCTGTTTCTTTTTGCTTTTTCCTTTTTTTAAATTGTCAGAACACCACCTTTGCTCTGCCCGCCTATGTGGAGGTAAGAAGAAGAGAAACATAATTTGAAAATCAGTTGGTTTGCAAAGCCTAGGTGTGAGAGAGGCTGCTGGTCCAGAGAGTTTTCTGTACGGACCATCAGATTTGAAAGCAGTCTGTGCAAGAAGCTAAGAAAAGTCATCTTTCTTCCCCTCTCCAAGACCCTAAAGACTGGAAAATTCTCAAAGATACTGTCGTAGATAGTTTTCAGCTAAAACAAGGGCAGCTCCTAAGGAAGGCAGAAGATGTAGCTGCGAAGGTTAATCCTAGCCTACGGAGCTGGTTTCTTTAGGAGGTGGGCAATGGGGAGAGAGAGGCCTTTCCAGGCTGTGGTTCAACGTGGACGTCTAAGGCCAGCCCTGCAGAACCACCCTCGGGGGAGCTCTGGCTTTCCTCCTCTGCCGCCGTGACATCCCCTGGCCAGCGGTGCCTTTCTGCGCCTGCCCTGGAACACAACACCGTGAAGCAGCAGGCTGGTGGACTTCAGCGGTTTCTTCGTACAATGTGTTTTGATAATTTTGTTGATAGCTCTTTGTAACAGAAGAGAAATTGCAAAACCTGAGTGACCAAACAGGATTGTAAAACCATCGAGAGATTAGCTGGATTTTTATCATTGCTGGCTGTCTGGAACTGGCATCGAAGTGAAAAAAAAAGTCTCTGAAAAACCACTCAACTCTGTGGGTTAGAAGGATACTGAATCTTTTATGTAGAAAACACTGGGTCCCTTATGGGGCACTAAAGGGCCTGACTTACAGGGTTATACACACATTAACCCCATGCTACATCTTAGAAATTTCCTTTTAATTTGTTTAAAAAAAGAAAAAGAAAAAAATAGCTAATTTTAGAGCCAAGTGAAGTGCACTTTGTCAAATGTAAGGGTCTGCTTTGGTTTTGGGTTTCTTTTTTCTTTTTCCCTTTTTAATTTTTTCCTCCTTTTTTTCTTCCTTTTGCCTTTTTAAAAGATGTGGTTCTTTGTCAATTGCAGAAATGTTCTTTCAGCCACTCACTGAAATTCTGAATTCTGGCTTCTGCAGTTTTTATTGTCTGTGTCAGACTTGCAGCCAGACTTGGTTCTCATTTCAGCATTTCCCAGGTTCTGTTGAAACAACATCAACCCTTATTTTGTTTCTCCCCCAACCACACTTTCTTCAAATTCACCTTGTGTATTGTAGCTCATTTGTTTTAAGGAGAGAATCAACAGATCATATTCAGTGTCTTGAATAAATTGCTATATTTTGATATTAGAGAATTCTGTGTGTTGTTGTTCCTTATTCTTTCCTGCCTGTTTTGCATCCTGCACTTAAGAGCTGGGGTCGGGTGACTTAAGTTGTAGCGTGGCGTCGTGACCTAAGGGGTGACCCGCCCTGCGGGTGTGGAGAGATCACCACTGCAGGTTCATAGGAGTTTGTAATACACCAAGCCATGGAGGCTTTATCCTCTAAATTTCTCTACTTTATTACAGATAGCCGCAAATACCACAAAAATCACAACTAGCAAGTCTAGCTATGATTAAGAAAGCAAATATATATATGAAGCTATTAGAAATTATTATCAGCAAGCAATAGTATAGAAACAATCAATAACACAGCAGCGATCGATTATAGCGCCAATTACAGCAGCACCCAATAATAGCAGCAAAGTACATATATGTAATATTACAGTTTATGACAAAGTTACTACAAAGCAAACGTATCGATAATACAACAGCAGATACGGTAGATCGCTCACAGGTCTATCTGTATGGCAGCAAGTGCATTTCAGAGGGGGCCCAACCATCCCAGAGCGGGGGACAAACCGATCCCAGGGAGGGACCCAGCCATCCCAGAGCTGGACAAACAGAACTGGCCCCAGGTGTGGGTTCAAGGGGAACAGTAAAACAACAGATGGAGTCTCACTTTGAAGATGATCCATGTCAGAGAGTTCGGAGTCAGCCAGGTGTTCCCAGCGAGGGACCAAGGTCTTGTAGAAAGTTCTCACAGACCTTTTTGAGGAAGGAAAAGTACCTGCAGCACGGGAAGTTCTTGCAGAAAGCTGCTCTAGTTTGGATAAAAATGAAGTCATTTTTATATCATAGACACCTAAGAGGCTGTAGGACACCACCACCATGAACAGCCAATAGATGCTGCTAATTTCTGGGTTTCATCTGGGACAGCCAGTAGATGACAATGATTTCTATTCTCTTAGACCAATTCTTACTTTTTGGGACTTCTCCTGTTCT